GAATTCACCTAAGTGGGTGATCATAGTGACAGGATCAACCCCTTTGTCGGACAAAGTGAATGATCGGGGAATGCACTCTCTATACTTTAACATGAACTCTATACTTTTCTTATGAAAATTATGAATAATTATTAAGGAAATATGGCTATGGTACCTAGGAAACTACCCTAGGATCTATGTTTTCTATATAAAAAAAATCCGTCGCCTAGGCGACAAGGCACCCCCCTAATGCCCAGCCTCGCCTTGGCGCCTTGAAAACTATGGTTGCTATAATAAGATTTATTTATGTTACTTAATAACTATTTTAAAATCCTATTGGCTTTACTTTTCATCATAAATAGGAATATAGGACAAGGAAACATGATATATGGGTTAATTCATTTTGAAAGCAAACATGATTATATCATCTTAGGTTTCTACTGTATTAGTATCCTTGAATTAAATACACATATGGTAGATATGCATTAAAATGGGGTAAAGTTACTTTTTTTGTATATACTTAAGTTTTACTACATCATCATCATCATCATCATCTAAGTCTTATTCCATTTATATGGGGTCAGTTACATGAATCTTGTTTTGCTAGTCCATTCTGCTTAGTGCCATACATGTTAAATTATAGGCACTTAATCATTTCTTAGTACTTCCACCCAAGTCCATTTTGGTATGCCCGTAGCTCTTCTAGCCCCTTCCAACTTGTAATAAATCATTTTTTTCTAACAAGTGCTGTAGATGGTCTTTATGCATGTGACCAAACTATCTCAATCTAATTTTTCTCATTTTATCACCTATTAGAACTATTCCTAGGTTTTGTCATATGACTTCATTTTTAATTTTGTCCTTCCTAGTTTTACCACTCATCTGTCCGAGCATTCACATTTCTGTCAGACTCATCTTTTAGCCATGATATTTCTTAACTTCCCAACACTTTGCTTAAGACAACATAGCTGGCCATATAACCGTTTTATAGAATTTTCCTTTTAGACAAAGCTGTATTCACCTATCACATAAGACTGCAGATGCATCCCCTCCATTTTGCCATCCTGCTCTAGTTCTATGGACAGCATCCTCCTCAATCTCTTCTTTGTTATGAATTATAGAACCAAGGTAATGGAAGTGGTCACTCTGATTTATCTCTTGGTTTGTACTCATATTGCTATTAAATTTACATTGCATATGTTCTATTTTCAAAATCTTGACAAATCCTTAAGAAACAGAAACAATCTTACAATTTATGATAATATTCACAATACAATTTATGGAAACAGGCATAGGTTGAGAAACCAAAGAGGAAACAAAGACAAAGAAACAAACTCTTACCAAAGGCTTTCCAGATGGCAATAGTATCCGCTCCATTGATGGATCCAGCTGGACAACATTGTCAGCTCCAACAATTAAACCAGGGAGGTCCCTGAAGTTTGCTCCCTACAAAACAGAACTAAATTAGACAACATAGAAGATAAATAACGATCAAAGTATAAATGAAAGTGATTCTAGTTTAGCCCACCTTTCTTTGTGGTATTTGACAAACTCTTGCATAATCATCTTCGTTTAAGGGAAGAGGCCGATGATCATAAAGTACAGATTTAGTTTGTCTTTCACCATTGCACATGGAACCCATCATCTCTACAAATAAGTTTAACTTGTCAAAACCAACTTGCCAGCAAAACTATGTAGTTTTTCTTTCGTTTGATGATGAGGCAAAAAAATAAAAAGAAAAAATAAATAAAAAACGAAAAAAAAGAAAAAAATGTGTGAATGTATTCGGTTTTGCATGTTTTTCTTGTAGTAGGATCCCAATTTGTTGTTTTTGGGTAGCTTTGTTGACAGTATGGAACCAGGGGTATGTTCGTCATTTTATAAGTCAGACTTTTGGTCAGCGGAAGTTGGGTGCATATCTGTTGGGTTTTGGTCTCTTGGGTCGTTTTGTAACAAAAGTCATCTTTTGAGGGTTCATTTGAAGTTGGTTTTGTTCTTAAGAAGTTGCTTGTGAGAGGGATACATTCTAGGGGCTTATGTGTAAATATTTTAACTGGCTTGTCCAACAAGCCGGTGAGTCTTATAAAAGAGAAGGGGGCTGTTTCTGTAGGGGCTTTTTTCTGGTTCTTTCTCTCTTGTTTGATCTGTAGCTCAGCCCCAGATAGGGTTTTCAAGTATTGGGAGCTTGGGTTTTGAGGAATCGACCCATCTTGGCACCTTCCAATCCCTCCAGCGCTGCGTGTCTGCGCGGGAGGCTAGCTTGCTGCCGTTGTTACTGTAGCGGAACTTGTTTTGGAATGGTAGAATACTGATGTGTTTCTTTCTATTGCCAATGGGCATATTTATACAGTAAGTTGTTGTAATAAATAGAAAGAAAGAAAAAAATAGAAAGAAAAGAAAATAGAAAGTACAAAAATAGAAAGAAAGAAATAGAAAAAAAAACTTTCTAAATCAATCCTTCCACAATCCTAGGAATATATACAATTCTATTTTCAG